TATTGTGTACTTGAGTGCCGTTTTTGTATATGTGTTGTGTACATGTTTATTTATAAACGTATGTGTTTCTTTTCTTTCGTTCGTGTTTATTCATATATCTGTACTGTAGTGTTTTCGGACGGTACTAGCTCCAACTGCCAATATAGGAGTATTACATATACGACTTTTATATGATTTTAAAATGTTGGCAACTTCAAAAAAAAAAATCATGGCCGACAAATTGAGAGAACGGTTCTACCTTGCTATGTTTTTATCATGAACAAAACCACATACAGTGCCAAACAAAAGTATTCGCTCAGGGAATTTTTCGTAATATAACGAGGGCTTATATTTCATACCCTCTATGTGAAATTTTTACAAAAACTACTTTGTGATATTAGAACCCATCTGGGACTAACAGGCTAACCTAATATTCGCGGCTTGCGTTTTGGTACGCATGCCGTCGAATTTGTTTTTTTGCGTCACCCGAAATTGACTTGCATGCGTTTGCATTTGATTTCATTGAGCGAAACGTCAAATCAAAATGTCACGCAGAACAAAAATTGGAAATTGAGTTAGCTTCATACGCACGCCGTTCAATTTCGGTTGATCTCATACAAGTTGCATGTGCATGAGAAATTTTTGACAATAAATTGGCGGCGTGCGTGAATATTAGGTTAGCCTGGTACCTGTCATCACTGATGTTAACAACAACAACTGACTTTGCAAGTTAATAGTAAATTCTTCTGTCAAGCGTTATACAAGGTCAGCGTTAATATCACCGATGGCAGTTAAGTCTTATGTGGATTTTATATCAGAATCTAATTTTTGTGAAAAGTGCAAACAGAAGGTATTGAATATAAGCCCTCTCTCTTTTTGTTACTCTAATTTCTTTTCGATATTTTTTAATACATTTCATACTACACCAAAAAACATAAAAATAATATCTCTAAACTTTGTGCAAAACTCAAGAAAGTACAATAAATTACCATACTAAATGCAATTTCTGTTAAGATTTTCCATACAAATTTGAAGTATGCAGTTTTATAGCCCATTCAATTTTAATATAACATAGTGCGAGTTTGAAGTTGCCAGCACATGGCACTGATTTGCCAAAAAAATGCCTTCAGCTGAGATCACCTGTTTTGGGCATTTGCTCTTATCTTTTGCAATTCCCCTCATTTGTACTACAATTTCTTCCATTTCTATTACAATTTATTTAAAATATGCAACATACTGAACCAAAAACACACCTACAGCCTGACGGAAAGAAACGTAAAGTAGAAGAGTTACGTTACTTATGGAACTGCACGATGGTTATTATTTTCTTCCATACAAAAAATTTCGTCGATCATACTTTGTTTGGAAGAAACAGCGTGAAAAAAATTGTCACAAATCAACGCGATTTTTCAACAACTTCAAACTTGCGCATTGTCATACTAAAAGTGAATGGGCTATAATCCTGATAACTTAGGATTTTTCTACTAAAATTTTAATAGAATGTTGAAAATTAGTGTGAAAAATTATTGAATTTTCCTGAGATTTGCACAAAATTTATGTTTTATTTTTATGTTTTTTTCTGGTAGTATGAACTTTGCCTAAAAAATATTATCGAATTATTGTTCGCTACTGTACATATTATAATTAATATAGAAAATTGGTGTGAGTATGGTAAAACACCCATTTCCGAAAAAAATTTCATATATACATACATACACATGAGGCCGTGAGTGTAAAAATGGCTAACCAACAATTTCTTTTACTCAACCACTTAAAATAGTATTAAATATGAGAAACTTTAAAATACAAGTAAATTTTAAGCAAAAAACAAAACCGACTTTAATTCTTATATAAAACTATAAGTGTTAATTCTTTCCACGATCAAATTATCGGATCCAAACAAAATTACTGAGACCACCCTTGAGGTACCACCTTTCCGATGAAAAAAGAATTATTAGAAATCAGTTAACGTAGTCCAAAGTTATGCGGAAACATATCTGTGTTCGTATGGAAAAGTAGCTTATGTCGAATGGCTAGCTTTAGTATAATGCGGCAATCCCTTTATTTTTTAAACGGCAAGGAATTTTTTGATGAGACTTAATAAGAATATTGACTTGCTAGTATGGGAACTATTTCTTCCACGTTTATATGCCAAAAGTTGTTTAACGGCTTAGTGCCAGTGAGTCATTCGCAATCGTATGCTGCGAATGCCGATTTATACTAAAGCCAGCCTCTCGACATAAGCTACTTTTCCATATGAACACAGATATGTTTCCGCATAACTTTGGACTACGTTAACTGATTTCTAATAATTCTTTTTTCATCGGAAAGGTGGTACCTCAAGGGTGGTCTCAGTAATTTTGTTTGGATCCGATAATTTGATCGTGGAAAGAATTAACACTTATAGTTTTATATAAGAATTAAAGTCGGTTTTGTTTTTTGCTTAAAATTTACTTGTATTTTAAAGTTTCTCATATTTAATACTATTTTAAGTGGTTGAGTAAAAGAAATTGTTGGTTAGCCATTTTTACACTCACGGCCTCATGTGTATGTATGTATATATGAAATTTTTTTCGGAAATGGGTGTTTTA